TATATATATATATATTTTGCATGCTCATCAAAAAGTTTTCCTGTTTTTTGCAGAGATGTTGTTTTTGCACTATTTTCATAGCTCGGCACATTATTGTTGTACTTTATTTTAGATATATTAGTTATATCCCTAGTGCTTAGTAGCTCTGGTGCACATTTGTCACTGGCGCAGCTCACTTGTTGTTTTAGAGAAAGAAAGATAGTTGACATTTTTGTCGCTATGAGTAAACTGGGTTAAAAAAGTGCAAGGACGCTCTAGGCAATGAAAGAACAGCTGTAAGTTGTCCATGCAAGGCAAAACAGGTTCATTTAACTTCTTAACTTTTCATAGGGCCGATGACAATCTCACCACCTCCATGTGACAGTTCTTGGCCAATCACCAAGCAGCAGAACGGTCATGTGAGGAAGGGGAGTGAATCACAAGTTTCTACATAGCCTAAAGAAAAATGGAGTAATAGAGAGGGAGGGTAAACACTGCTGAGAAGGGTGAAAGTTGAAGGGAACCTGTTATTTGCCCTGCATGGAGGTTCTCATAAGTTTTTTTTGTTTTTTTAGAATTTCATTGAACATGTTCAGCCTGCCTAATTACCTGCGTGGTGGAGTAGAAATCTTGCTGCGAGGTATACTGCTTCCCCCTGTACTCGTCAGCGATGGCCTGGGTAGTGCACTTCTTACAGGCAACGAACTTGCAGTTTTGTTTGGCATAGGGATCCCAGAACTTGATATACACTGTAAACTAGTTGACTGTGGAATGCTGCTGCTTCCTTGTATAGTTGGGCTTACGTAGGCTGTGGCTTTCAGAGGTGGCCTCATTGATACTGGGAAATTACCCACACTGTGGACCCTTTGCTGCAGCTGACCAGGGGACGGTACTGAAAAGGAGCAAAAGTTATATGATTACAAATACTATATTGGGAATAACAGCATGTGAACAATATATACTGTATATTATACATTTTAAGCATTTTTACACAAATGGAGGCTTTTATGCTAAAAATGTCCTTATTCCATTGTTAGTGCTTGACAAAGACATAAAGGAGAACCTAGAAAGCCAAAAAAACAGAGATAGAAAGATATTTTAAAATGTTCCACAGTTGTTATCCTTATCACTTGACGCTCTCACAGTGCCTTTTTAAAGGAAGCTTTTATAGTGGATATATCGGATCTGTCAGTGCCGACTACTTTTACAGATGTAAGTTCCAGGAATTATATCTTTATCCTTGCTTCACTACCTAGTTAGGTTCTGGCCCAATTCTGACCTGGAATAGGCAAGGTGGCAAGGGATGAGATGTATACATGCTTGTCTTATCCTGACAGCTTTCTTTTACAGTCCAATTAAAGCTCTACATTTTTTTTGCTACTATATTTGCATTTGACTGTACCAAGCTGCCCTATACTGGAAAGTTGCACTGCAGCTCTCACACGGGGTGCAGCATGTTTCCAGTGGTCCAACGCAACCATTCCACAGTAGTCCAATTAACAACGCTGCTCATGGAGCAGGAACGTCATTGATTTGAGTGCTGTGGAGGGGGCATGTAGAACTACTGGGGACCCGGACCAAGTGTTCCATGTGGGATCAGCGCTCTGGCATTCCAACCTGCTGCTGACACAGGGCAGCTCAATAATATTAAACATACATAATGGTAAAAAAAATAATGCACCATTCTTTACATTTACAAGTAGGAAAAGTAAGACTTCAATTGAACTTCAAGGCAGCTGGTGGCTCCAAAGTGAGCGAGTTCCTCTGTAATAGACCGTCAGAGGTTTCGCAAGTTTTACCAAGCTGAATGAATGTCTCAGCTACAGAAAACCGTACTGTTTGGCCCTCAAGGACAGGAGTTTTACAGCCCTGTACACTTAAAAGGCAAACTCAAGAAACTAGAAATCAAACTAGAAGCTATATCTCCCTCTTGGGTCTGATCGGTTTGATTATATGTTATTCAAGTTTGATTTAGAATCCCATTTCCATTACTTTGGCAACCTAAATGAATTGAATCATTAAAATCACTAAATATTAGATCACCCCAAGCTAAGTGGTTTACCAGTTAAAAATAAATGGTAATGACACAGGTGTTATTTCCTTAAATCCAAACAGATGATTTATTTACAGCATATAAAAAGAGTGCAGGTCTTACAGCTATAAGCTTTATGTACAGCGAAACGTATATAGGTCTTTATTTATTTGTGAATCCCCAAGCTGCAGAGTTGCAGACAGCTGAACAGATCAATATGTGTACTTCCTTCCGATCTTCAAGCTCAGATTCCCGGAGGCTGCTAACAGAGCATCTAGCAGAGCCAGGGGTATGACTTTGATGACCTATTCCTTACATCACCAAGCTGCATTTTAGGTGGAACACTAACCAATTGATGGGTGAGAAATATTTGAACTTGCCCAACAGAGATTAAGGTAAGAAAATTGATAATATTTGGCATCAGGGAAAAGTGTATACGAGCTGCAATTTGTCCTAAAACTGGTTTGAGAGTCTACCTAGAATGACAATTAATCAAGCAGCGATCAGTGGAGTCTGGAGGGTGATTGCACCATATGATTTACACACGTCTCCCTGATCCTTTAATATACCTCTTGAAAGACTTAATAGATATATATCTTGAAAAATGTGATAGTGTCTCACCAGTCAGTAAAAAATTTCAGCATGGCCGGACTATAGCCTTGCAATTTATGTTTAAAAAGTTTGGGGACAGATAGAGCTTTCTTTTGGAGGTATATAAATCACCACGAGGGGGGGGGGGGGGGGGGTTAACTATATAATAAAAAAAGTACCGTAAATGTAGAAAAAAACAAAAAAGTTTCCCTACGTTATGTTATAAAACATTTATTCTTACCCGTATTTTTAGTAAAACAAAAGTCAGGGTCACGTCGGGTAAATAGACCCCAAACATGTCAAGCCTTAAGATTGCGTGCGCCTGCAAAATCGAAAAATGCCAGCTGTACCTGCCCCTCCCCCATCCATTCCGCCAGTCAGCGCTGACGGATCGGGGGGAATCCAGCCCTTCCCCTGTCATAGCAGAGAGCCGTGACAGGATCGAGATGTGAGCGAACGCTGGTATGTGTTCGCTCACCTCCTGATCTACTAAGCCGACCTGTGACAGTCTCATTGTCGCAGGTCGGCTAGAACTATGATTGCATCAAAATAATACACCTACATAATCCAAAGAATCCGGTAACATGATATTCAACGATGACATTCCACCTCCAAAGCACTTGGTCATCTACAAAACACCATATAGAAGCTACCACAGTTGTTTGAGATTTTAAACAATCTACTGAACCCATAATTAGTTGCTATAAGAAGTGGTCTAGAGATAACTAGCAACTGTATTGCTATTGTATTTACTTTGAATTTCTTATTTTCTTAAATTTATAGCACTAACCTTCATATAGTAGTTAAAGACCTCTTGCTGATTTCCTGCTCCTGTAACCCCAATTATCAAACTATTCACTTAATACGCGAGAAAGAGAACACCGCTCCTTCCCGATGTTTACAAAGTTGCCCAGTGCAGAAATCAGGTGCTCGCTCATGGAGCTTGTTTATGCTCCCAATGTATGCAGTCTGCAAGTTCCAAAGTCGCACTCTAATGCCATGACTCCAATAAAAGCAACTTTATTATCTCCAACAAGATACTGCTTAATCTTTTACGTTTCTGCCAGCACCCAGTGGGGAGGATCTGGTTGGGACAGTGCCGGGCGGTGGTGACGGAGCTTGGACACTTTGTGAATGTACAGTTACACTTAGCGGCATGTCAGCCACTGATCACAGGTCAGGAGGACAGTTCTGCTATAAAAATGTATGATTGTTGAAATATCCATGATCTTATAGCAGAGTGGGGAATGTAATTAGAGATAATGAACTAGCAAGGTGCAAACGGTTCTGTTCTGCGGTATCCCTTACGTTGCTGGCAGTGATCAGGTTAAACTCCAAACTTTCTGTATTAATTGATGGTTAACCCACTGTAATACTTTATTACTAGTAAGTATTTGTGTTAAATATAGCATGTGGCGTAGTTTATGAACAATGTATAGCTACCCTCCACCAGGTTTCGCAGGTTTGTGACTTTTACCTTTAGCATTAAGAGCACGAGTGCTACAGAAATGCACTTGAGTTTGGATCCTAAAACAGTGGAGTGCAGTACATTTTTTTTTTGAAAACACATTTCTTATGGTTTTTTTCTAGAAAATGAATGCACAATTACTGCTGTAAGGGCCCTGTCTAAAAGGTCACTGAAAGAGGAAACAAAACACAAGACACCGCATATTTTCCACATAGCTTCCAAAGAGCCCTTTCTTAAGAGACATTGTGAAATATAAAAGTAATCACTTTACTTACTACTTGACTGCAGCCTTGACATCCCATTTGCTGCGCCATGGAGGTTAGAATCAAAACTTTGGCTGTTTCGCACAGTGACTGGGGAAACCACAGTGCTTGGTGCTGTGCTTGGCATGCGAGCCAAATTAGGCATACTTCTACGTAGTTTATCTGGATAGAATAAAATAAGATAACATTCTAGTCAACATACATGTTATATAAACAAATAAATAACCTTCAACAAATCCTTAACAATACCGTATAACAAATCTAATAATCATGTCATTTTTATAACCACTTCAGTGCCCGCACATTAAAATGAATCTATTCAGCAACACTGTGGTCTATGTCACTTGTCCACTTTCAACCAGCTCAGTGGGAAAATAATCAGCATAATCGCCTTTATCCAATGCACAGTGATGGGATGAAAAAATAGTAATGCTAAACCAGAAATTAGCAGAGTAGTGTTTGTGGCTGTACTGTGTGACAGAGGTGTGTAATGTAAATCACTAGATTAGAACACAATACCAAACCCTTTTACAAGTCCGAAGTAAACATTTATGCACTTTGATCACGGATTAAGCGGTTTGCCATTTTATGCACAGACTGGTCACCAATGGGTTAACACATGCTCTGGTGAGTGTTAACACATCTACACAACTGCCAAGACTGGTCACAGAGGAGTTAACGCACATGGGACAGGATATTTTTCAATGATTAACATGTGTATTATACAGGCTTGACACTAAGGGGGGCTAATGCAAAAACTCTTAAGAGTTGCCACTGAGGGGTTAATGAACATTCTCAATGGAACGATCACTTTAGGGTAATGAAAATACTCTGGGGGCCGATTACTGAAATGATAATGCACATACACTAGAGACTAAACACAGTGGGTGCAATGCACATACACTGGAGGGTTGTCACTGGGGGATTAAAAACTGCTCACAGAAGTGGTAATGCACATACTCAGGATTATCATCACCAAGGGGTTAATGCATATAGTAGAAACAGATGACTGAGGGTTTAGTACACATACTTTTGAGACCGATTATCTCTGCGTAGAGGTAGACGAACTCCAGCTCTTCAGCTGTGGTACAACTACAAATCCCATGAGGCATTGAAAGACTGACAGCCACAGACATGACTTCCAGAGGCAGATGCCTTCTGGGATTTGTAGCTTCACCAAAGCTAGAGAGCCAGAGTTTGCCTACCCCTGACCTAGAGGCTTAACTCCTTTTTGAAACAGTAAATTGAGGAATAAATGCACTTACAGTGGAGACTGATTACTGAGGGGTTAACAAAATCTTGTGATTGGTCACAGAGATTAAGGCACGTACATTGGAGAGTGGTCACAAAGGTGTTAACACCAGACATCCCAACCTGCAAAACCTTATTTCAGGGAGGTTCCAGTCTCATTTCAGGGAGGTGCCCTTTCTGTTTTTTTTTTACAGTGGCCGTTGTCAGAATATAAAAGAAATAATAATGATCTAGATCTAGATATATTACTCAGAGTAAACCTTTCAGGGAGAAAATGCCTCTCTCGCCGGATGTCAGGGAGCCGCTATCTAAAAGAGGGAGACTCCCTGAATATCAAGGAGACTTGGGATCCCTGTAACACCCATATTATGAAGACTGATGACTGAAGGGTTAATGGACATACTGTGGAGACTGTTAGTGTGGAAAGACGAGGGGAATATATCAAGACTGGAGTAGACAAAATCTGGAGCAGTTGCCCATGGCAACCAATCAGCTTCTCTCTTCAGTTCATTCAGTTAAGATTTGAAAATGAAAGCGTAGCTGATTGGTTGCCATGCACAGCTGCTCCAGATTCCGTCTGCTCCAGTTTTGATAAATTCCTCAGAGTTTTGAGATTAAACATCAAGTGGTTAAAGCACATTATCTGTAAATTGCACAGGAAACGGATTGTTTTGTAGAGCATTCACTGAGATGTTAATCCACATTCAATTGAGAAAAACACATATTATGCAGACTGATCATTAAGGTGTTAATGTACCTATTTTGGAGAGTGCACATATTTTGGAGAGTGGTCATTCAGGAGTAAAAGCACGTGCTCTGTAAGGCTGGGTTCACACCTGAGCGATTTTTTTTCGGGTTCTTAGCGTGATTTTCCCCGTCAGTTAAACGCGCGTTTTACTGGCGGTTTTTAATTTTGTATTTTTTTTAGTTTAACTTTTAAACTTTTCCGCCGGCTCAGCCCCCCTGCGACGCGGTCGCTCGCAAGGGACGGAACCCGGAAGTCGGCAGCCGCCGAAGACACAGCGGGGATCGCAGACAAGGTAAGACCTGTACGCTGTATTCCCGAGTGTGGCTCAGGGTTACCGCCTTGTTAACCCCGATCCACACTCGGGAATACCAATGTAAACACGTGGCAAAACACCCCAAAGAAGCGCCTGTACTTCTTTGGGCGTAGGGCGTTTTGCATAGGCAAATCATTGGTTTTCACATGTTGAGCATTTTACAGGGCATAGGAACGCGCTGTAAAACGCCCAGGTGTGAACCAGGCCTAAAGTGGTCTCTGAAGATCATTGCATATACACTAATGACTTAAGCTGACCATACACCTATAGATTATCTGGAGATGTTCTATGGTCAGATGAAAAAAGTCCAACAGATTCCTCCCTCTATGCTAAACTGTGTAGATGGAGGGATCTCCCACTGGGCCAAGCTTCAGGATCTTGCTAGTTGGCCCCGCTGGCTGTCAAAATACCTGAACAATCTGATTGGATGCAGGCAGTTCAGGTATTTTGAGAGCCAGCGGGGCCGACTATCAAGATACTGAAGCTTGGCCCAGTGGGAGATTCCCCATTCACACCGTTTAGTCTAGATGGAGGAATCTGTTGCACTTTTTTCATCTGACCAAAGAAAATCTGCAGATACTCTATGGGTGTATTATATATGAGCAGCTTAACTGCTTGCCGTCCGCCCATTGTGAAAAAAAAAACGGACGGATGGCAAGCTCCAATTGGCGGCCCCCCCTTACCTTCAATCCCGGGCTCCGCTGTGCCTTCTGCGGCCCGGGACCGGCTCGGGTGGGTGTCCGGAGGGAGTTCAGCATCTTCCTCCTTGCTGACCTCCCTCCGACGTCTGAATGTGGAAGTGTCAGGTGCGCCAACGCGCGAAAATGACAATTGCGCTACACATGTTACATATCGCCGCAAACGTCGGAGTGAGAGCAATAATTTTAGGGCCATCAATCACTGATAGCACTAAACTGATGAGCAGTAAAAGCTTTTAAAGCGTCGCCTATGGCCAAGTTTCGGTATTGTAGTTTTTTTATGTTTTGCAGGCCCGCACAATTTTAAAGGCTTGACATGTTTAGTGTCTATTTACCCGACGTGACCCCGTCTTTTATATTTTACCACAAAATTGGGTAATAATAAAGGTTTCAAAATTTATTAGGTGGAAACATTTTATTTTTTCAAAATGTTCGGTAATTCTTCCATATTATAGTAAAAAATAAAAACCACAGTGGTGATTAAATACCACCAAAAGAAAAGCTCTATGTGGTATAAAATTAATTTCAGTACAGCATTGCATGATCGAATAAATGTCAAAGTACAGCAGCGCCGAATACTGAAAAATGACCTGAACAGGAAGGGGCTTTAACACCCCAGTCAGCAAGTGGTTAATAGTCATTGACTGGAGAGCAGCCCAGAGGGGTTAATCCACATACATAAGAGGTTTGCTCATTGTGGGGTCAAGCAAGATCAGTAAAAGGAGAGAAGAATGTTGAGAGGACAAAGCTGAAAGGAATGCCATTTTGTTATTGTTGGGACTCACTTTAGGAAGAACAGAAAGATAAAAGGTTAAAGGCTAATTGCTTTTATTTAACACATACTCTCTATAATCCACAAAAATCCCAACTATAGGGCAGAAGATGAAATTATGTTAAATTAAAGTGTGTGTCAGGGCAGAAAAAAAAATCAGTACCTACCCGTAATCCATGCACATTTCCGCATGTTTTATCTCTTTAAATATACCGGATAATCTGCTAGAAATCCAGTGTGCTCCTAACTTTCTGTTCGAGCTGACAACAGAGCGCCTCTGCTGCATTTAAATGGTAAACACTGTGGTCAGTGTTGTCCTGCCTGCTGTACTACAGAACTTTGCCTATCCCCCACCCCTCTTTGTTTCACTTCCAACCCTCGTGCATACATTGGTTTCTTCCCCCACAATACAATACTGCTGCTGACTCCCAAGAGCGTGCCCGCGCACTTTGTGTAGGGAAAGGGCTCTTGGCAGATGTAGTCCTTGGAGTGTACCCAAGTAAAAAAGGAACCATGCTCCCAGCAGCTTTCCCTACCAGAATTTTACAAGCCCAGCGACTATGTCATGGGGATTATTAAAGCTGTTACATGCAGGAACAAAGTAAAAGTATAAAAGGCTGGGACATGCTCTAGAGTAGGAAACAAAGGATTGGGGGATACATTTGACTAATGGCTGGACGTTCACCTTAATAAATATAATTCCTGCAAACAAAAATAAAGAAACAAAACATAAAACATGGAACCTACCCTAAAAACCTTTATCACCTATTGATTAGGCATTATATGAAAGTTATTCTTATGGCACCTACTTCTAAGACCATACTGTTACTAGCAATGCTGGTTACACACGAACAAGGAACCATTCTGATTGGTAACCAATCATGTGATCACCATTATAGCCAATAATAGCGATTCTATCTCATTATGTCTCACATAGGGAGAGGGACATTAACTGGTGCCTGCCAGTTGCTGCTGTCAAAGTGCAGACTAAATTTCATTTTTGAATGATCTTTTGCCCATTTTACTGCTTACAATAACCATAAGCAGGGGATTTCTTTAACTGGTTCAGGACCGCCTTATGTAAATAAACGGTGGCATCCTGAAGCAGTTATACCAAGATCATGGCTGCTGCAGCAACTGTGAGCTTGGTACCCGTTTAAACAGCCAGTGATGGCTGTTCACATACCAGCTATGCTATTTTTGCTATTACATAGGTGGCTTGTTAGCCTTGTATGTGATAGCAATAAAGTTAAGTGTAAACAAAGTTTAAGTCACATATGAAAACAAAATTTAAAGTCCCCCACCCCCTCCTACACACACATACAAACGCAAACAAACAGTGTCGGGTGCGCCTAAGTGCAAAAACGACGATTGCACCACACTATACATATTACTGTGAACGTTGGCATGAGGGCAATAACTCTAGGACAATCAGTCACTGTTAACGCTAAACTGAAGAGCAGTAAAAGCTTTCAAACTGCTGCCTATGGGAAATTGTGTTGTATTGTAGTTTTTTTTTTGCAATTATTATTATAATACAGGATTTATATAGCGCCAACAGTTTGCGCAGCACTTTACAATAGAAGGAAGACATTACAGTTACAATAAAATTCAAGACAAGATGGTAAGGAGGGCCCTGCCTGTGAGGGCTTACAATCTAAAAGGGAGGACCTAGTGATACATGAGGAGGTAGCTGTGTGGGGATGAATTGTTTGAGAATGTGATTTCATGGGCGGATGCAATTTCATGGTATTACATTATGTTTCTGTGCACTAAATTTCATTTGAGTGTATTTTATCCTAACAATACTTGTTGATAAACATTTCACACATAACGTGCAAAATAAACATTTGCAACTAGCATTTTTTTATTCTATAGGGCCTCTGCTTCCAGAAAATATATAACTGCTTGAGGGTATTAAACAGTTTTCTAGCCAGAAATTCAGATTGTATCATGCGTGTACAAAAATTAAGAAATTGCACTGGACAGCAAGTAATTAAACAGTGTACCAAAAAATAGATTTAGGTAAACAAATTAGAGTGTTATAGCCAAGTTAACCAATGCATACGCATACTACTAAATGTGGTTTCAGCATCTAGGTTTAAATGACCTCCGGTCATGTAATAGTTCAGAATTACGCTCACAAGATTGACAGATTTCGAGAAAGTATGTGCATTATTTGTGTTAATCGAGAAACCTATAAAAATACATGTAAAATAGAAATTAAAACTTGATTGACACAGCCAAATTGGCTAGAAAATAGACAAATTCTTAAAATATAGTGAATTCCAAATGTCAAAAATGGTGCTCATGGAAATTAGCTCACCTGCATTAGTTCTGTTTTGTGTTTGTTCTGGCGTCTGAGCTTGGGATGAAAAATTATATTGCTGATATCCATTTGAATTAAGATACTGGGAGCTGGGACTTCTCCTGCAATCCCGAATACTAGAGAAAGTCTGGGAATGAGGAATGCCTCTCTGCAGTGGGGAGCAGCGACTAAGTCGAGGCTGAGGTGGAGGTAAAAGGTCAAAGTCTTCATCTTCGTCTTCAACACTGTATCTGTCAGATTCATGGTCACTGTTGGCACTTGGTGCTTTCTTTCCAGGATATAGTGAAAGGCTAGAGCGATGCCGTGTTACTGAACTGCAAGCAGAGGTAGATGCAAAATCTTGCCTAAGACCTGCAAAACAATTAGTTGCTGATCAATTTCTCATACGGGCATCACAAGAACTAGACATAGAAAATCTAGACATAAAAAAAATGGGGACACAATTAGACTATGGCAACAACAAAAAATAAAAATTGGCTTGCGTTAAACACTTCCTAATTATGCTGGGAGTCTACCATGTCCACCTTCCAGGTCATTAAAGTGCATCTAAAGCCAAAACAAAACAATTTTTTTTTTAAAAGTGACACTAAACTCAGAAACCTTAAAAATACAGCTTATTTGTGTATAACGTGGCTGTTGATCCTCAAATCATCTCCGAATTGGTGCCGACAATGTCCTTCCTTCTGGAGGGTGGCTACTTTTGTTACCCATGGTCCGTGTATGTGTGTTGTAAAAAAGCCACCGCTCTAGGCTCTCTCCCTACAGTACTACAGTCTCAGTACAAATGAGTAAACTAAACCTGAGATTGTAGTCCATCACGGGAGCAAGCTTGGAGCGGTGGCAAAATTAGAACACACACAGGGATCATGGGGAACAAAAGTAGCCACCCTCCAGAAGGAAGGACAGTGTCAGCACCAATTCAGAGATGATTTGAGGATAGCTATGGTGGTTGAATGCATCTTTAAAAATGTACTCCGGACTTTAGTGCCACATTAAGATTTGGATTGCATTAAAAACCACTGTCAGCTTTGTATTGCCATGTATCTCCCCACTGGAGAAATTCCCTCTCTCCCCAGTAGAGAAGAAAGTGATGGGGAAAAAAATACTGTTGACACCAGAACAGATGGTAAGAGGAAATCTTCCATTGGGGACATCCTCTTAGTTCTCTCTTCCAGTTAGGTCTCTAGGAGAGGAGAGGAGAAAGTGTGAACTCAATCACATGACACAAATAGCAAAAATGAATAAATACATCCTTTATTGGTTAGAGCAGGAAATCGTTAAATCCCCCAGCATGTTGTTTTTCTTTGTATCTCATTGGGACAAACCTCTCCAGAATGAGGGGAAATCTTCTTAACCAATAGAAATGAGCTCGGGTTTGCTCAAAACCTGAACTCATCGAAACCCGGACGTTAAGCGTCAGTGCACACCCAATCAGCAGAGGCCAGGGCATCCCTCGACCTGCAGCCAAACATAAACAAAGGGGCGGGATGCTGATGACCATCGAAATGACGTGGTCATATTTGGCTAATGACGTTACAATTACCATATTAGGTCAATTATATTAACCTCATCCCACCCCCTCACTTTTGTGCAGAGTGGGTAATGCCCCGGCTGCAGCTAATTGGGCATGCACTGATGCCCAACTTCCAGGTTCAGATGAGCTCGGGTTCAGATGAAACCCAAGCTCACTCCTATTAACTAATTGGCAATGAAACCAATGTCCCCAATGCAAGATTTCCACTCACCTCTTCTTCCGGTGATAACTGTAAAATGTTAGATTTCCCATTACTTTCTGTCTCAGTGACAAATAGAGAGGGTAAATCTCCCCAGTGAGGACACATACAGTAATACAAAATCAGACAGGGGTTTTATGCCTTCCACTTCCTAATCCAAAACAAATTTGGCTTTAAATACACTTCAATTAGCTTCGGGTTGTATATTGCTAAAAATTGCCCTCCCCCAAGCAAGTGGAACTCCTGGCCACAGTCCCAACAGAAATAAAAAATACTGTACTCATAAGACCATATTTATGTTTTTTCTAATGCAGACAGAAAGTTAAGGAATCTAATCGCTTGCTCTCAGCGATGACAAAGGCATCAAATTAGATAAATCAGTCAACAATCAACATTAAATGCTTTAAGTGTTCTCTGAATACACCCTATTCACCAACACCCATCACATTCCCTAGTAATTAATTACCTCTGCCACTTCACTGTGCACACCCTTCCATGCACTGCTCCACTTCTCTGATGTATTTACTAGTAGGATCACGTTATACTTTTAAGTCCACTCTACTTTTTTTGTTTGCGATCACTACCCTGTTAGCTAGAAGGCTCTAGCCTGTCACTGTATATTTATACCATTTGCTTTGTTCAGTTTTGTTAATGTTAACTGTATACCTTACTGCCAAAGTGCTACACAAATATGATTGCACCATATGAAGAGAAGCTTAAAAAGAACCCTTTTGTGGCAATCTGGGAAACAAAACACCACACAAAGACAAGGCAGTTACTAGGGATGCACCGATACTTTTCAGATACCAGTGCCGATACTTGGCATTTTCATGAGAACTACCAGGGTTGCAGCGGTTGCAGCTGGGACCTGGCTCTAGTGCTCCATCACTGTCCTGAAATCATTAGTCCGCATTGTTTTAGAAAAACTGTCACATGACAATAAACAAAAATGTATCAGTATCAATGTACACAATCATACATTAAAACAGAGATGTACAAATCCCAGGAGCTCCGCGTGCTCCTTACAAATGACAGCTGCCTCCCTCCTAACTTTTGAGTTTTTCTCTAGTCTAGGCTTGGAGCTGGAAAAGTATCTGTACTTGTACTATGTATGGTACTTGGTATCGGTGCATCCTTAGCAATTACACTAGGTGACTATGAGTCCACTTCTGACTACATTGCATCCTCTGTGCTGAAGGGACAGAGGGAATGTTGGGGCAGGTGCCCAGTTTAGGCATTGTTTACTGGAGAATGCTCAGTTGCTTCTAAATGCACCAGTGTAAATGCATACTTTTTCCACTATATGATTAAAGAAAAACTCCAGGGGGAAAAAATGTATTATGTGGAGCTACCCCAACACTGCAAGGGTTAACTGTGGCTAGGTGCTAGAAAAAAAAAAAAAGGTTAAACTCACCAGACCATCCAAGCCGGCATCTCTTCCCCCTTCTGCTGCAGTGGTCTAAGGATTCTGATGTCATCATGCTCTATACACTGTGCATAGACATGAGGACGCCAAGGAGCAGTCCATCTGTGCAGTGAAGGAGGAGACACGCTTCAGTGATTACAGAATCAGGGAGCCGGCTTGGATAGTCTGGTGAGTATAACTTTTATTTTTAGCACCTAGACAAAAACAAGCACTTAACCCTTGCAGCGCATGGGTAGTCCCACTGCAAGGGTTAATACTTTTCCTGGAGTTCTTCAACATTTTTTCTCTACCATATCAGTATCTGTAACACTGTAAAAGATCTTACTTTCTTCTTGTAATCGCGCCATGATCTGAACATCAGTAAGGTCCTGTAGCTTGTATCCCATAGCAATTGAGTCATCTTCTAGTTCTGAAGTGCTTAGTTCACTGTCTATTGAAGACTGTGGGCTCAGAGGTGAGCTCTTGAAATTATAACCTGAAAAATAAGAACATCCTTATAATGATATACTGTACATATAATCTATAATAATACATCAAATCTACATAAAAGGAATAATAATAATAATAATAATAAAACAAAAACACTAGCATGCCAGCTGTGAAACTATAGCTGTGATTACTGCGACCCATTTTCTTAAAGCCCCAACCGTGATTAGGCCCCTTTTCTAGGTGGGGCAGACTCCCATACTCCTTACCCCCCCCCCCCCGCTCCCCCGTAACACTATAAAGCAGAGAATTGCTGGGTGGAGAGGTCCTGTAACTATAAGATCCCTCACTGCAGAAGTGTTGATGACCATGGCAGAACACTTTCACTCATTGCATTTGGTAATGAGGACACAGAGAAGTGCCTTGTGCAAATCATCAGAAGCTCCCCCGCACAACTTTGCTCTGGGGCGGGGTAATGTTCTTGATACAATGGCTTCCCACCCAGCAGTCTTTACTGAGAAGAGCACATTAAGGGGGGGGCCCGATCCAAACTTTGTACTAGAGCCCTCCAAATCGTAGCTACATCACTAAATACAGCAATGTGCTGCTCTTTAATCTCTAAAAATTAAAATAACACAAGTTGAGCAAAAAGATATTTAAATGCAGGCACCAAAACACTTATTACTTAAGGGAGAACTATGGGGTTAAGTCTTTTCCCCATAGTTCTCCTTAGGGTAACGGGAAGACACAAACTAGCATCCTCCCGTCACCCTAGGCTCAGTATACCGGCAGAGAGCCGTGACAGGATCGAGAGGTGAGCGAACGCCGGTATGTGTTCGCTCACCTCCCGATCTACTGAGAAGACCTATGACAGTCTCATCGAATGCGAACGCCACATTTTCCTGCATCTTCACAAGTAACGATCCATAATATAAAGTAGCAGCCTACTTTAAAGTAGATTTAACCAGATTTGACCATACAGTACGACTGAATTAAGTACTTGTCCAGAATGATTTTGTGATGCATGGACATTATTAATGCATATCTAGGGGTTCATTTATAAATGTTAGCCTGGCAGATGCCATTTGCACATCAATAGCAACCCTAGATGGCTCTGACTAGTATAGGACATTCCTATGCACATCAGCACCATCTAGGGGAGTTAGTGCCCTGTAAACAGCATCGATTCGGCTATACGACGGGTGTAATTTTTATATATTTATGTATATGTTGTCTCCGCTGAAGATTCATTTGTTCTTAAAGGACAGAGATGTGGTCAAAAGTGTGGCCTCCTTATACTGCAGTATAATCTGCAGTGAAACATGCCTAAAATAAGGAGTAGTATATTGTAGGCAATTACGTTCCACCCATGAGGGATGTGTAAATGTGAAAATAATTTGTTACTAGCACCTTTAAAAGATCTATTTGTGAAAGTATGCCTTCCACGAACTGCCTCATGAAAACTTTTGATGTTTTACAGCATTGTGAACAAAATTAAAACTAGATGAGTGTTAACTTAGCTGTTTTTTTTTAACCAGATATCACTGTGTATAGTTAAAAAAGAAGAAACTGATATTTTTAACCATACATAAAAGACATTTAGGAAAAAGTTGAAACCAAGACATCTCAATCTTAAACCATGATCAAATATCCACTATAGCCTTCAGGATAAATAAAAGCTATACATAAGAAAGGAAAAAAAAAATGCAACATAGCAACAAAACAAAACAAAAATTACAGCGGCATAAAACAACCACAAAACATCAACAGCAAAACAATATAGAGAAAGCCAATTACACTGTGAAAAGGGAGAAAAAACCCACAACATTTTCATTGCAAGATAGAATAAGTTGTAGGTTTACCTGTCTTTTCTGGTGTTAGTATTGCTTTAGTTGGGGTTTTAGGGATGCTGGGAGAATTAACACCGTTGAAATATGGAGTGAGTCTCGCAACTGGACTATATGGAAAAGACATGGATACAGGAGTGGAAAAGAGACTCCTCCAGCGACCAGCTAAACATAAAAAGGAACAGAAATTACTGATTAGTATTGATTGTGATTGATTGTGAAACCATAGCAAGCACGGATCAGGAACAGAAACTGAAAGACAATTCCTCCCCAAAAAATATAGTTTTGTGTTTTTTTGGGCAATTGTCAGTTCCACCCAAACACTCCAGTCACAACAAAGCTAAATGATCAAAGGTGAATTGCACTATTGATGCCTCAACAGTTGGTGTGTGATACAAACCAACGCCCACAAATATAACAGTTTTGGGTAGAACTTCAATATACAGGGCTTTGGCTTAAGTCAATATCAATCATGGGATCAAATCCTTGTGTGTCTTGGCAGACTGTATTTACACTTATCACCTACAGAATATCAGGTGACATTTCATTAAAGAACTCTGGGAACATATTTTCTTAACCCTTGCAGTGGGGCATCCCCCTGCACTGTTCTAGATTTGGTATAGGTGCTAAAATAAAAATAAAAAAAAGTTATACTATCCTGATTCTCAGATTTCGCCTTGCTCTTTGACTAGTCCCTGGAGCCCCTCTCCCCCTTCGCTGCAGTGGTCTAAGGTCCCTGAGTTATTACATCACTGTGTATAGGATGCGAGGACACAAAAGGGACATACCATCGCTGCAGCAGCGCAGGAGACAGATTGGAAGGAGCTCTGTCAACGCCAGCCGGCTCCACGGATTGGGTGAGTAAAACTGTTATTTTAGACCCTAAAAGAAAATGAGCACTAAAGAATAATTTTCCCCCAGAGTTCTGCTTTAATGTACAAGATCTGTGATGCTTTGAAGCCCCATCCCAAAGACCCTACCACAGATTTATCAGTGTTGTAGCTCTAGTCATCACTACTTGGTACCAGAATGGTTGACATTTATTTCCATCCAGAGATGCATTAATGTTTCACCAAGATCCTATAGCGATGGTGGGAGAGTTGGAGCACTGTGTAAAGTCTTCTCCAGCACATCCCAATGGGATTAAGGTCTGGAGTCTGTGGTGACCAATCCATGTGTGAATAGGATGTCTCATACTCCCTGAACCACTCACACAATTTGAGCCCAATGATTCCTGGCATTGTCATCTTGGAATATGCCTGTGCCACCACATTGGGAAGAAAGAAAAATCAATTGATGGAAAAACCTGATCATTCAGTATTTTCAGGTAGCCAGCTGACCTCATTTTTTGGGGACATAACATTGCCGAGCCTAAACCTATTGTCCAATGGAAGGTTCTTACCCATTTAAATCCAGATGGGTACTTGTTTTTTTGGCCAAGCAGTATATGAAAATGTCACAATTTACAAATACCCAAGTTGGATACAACTAGTGAGCTTTTTACTGTTTTGTGCAATCAAAACATGAAATTCAGGTACAGTAACAGACCTTGTTTCTCGCATGTCATCGGACAATTCTGTTTCAAATGCCTTCATTTTTCAGAGATCCAGTCCCATATTGCCATCATTTGGATCTCCTAGGTGTATGTATACCTCCAGGTTATGAAACCCTGCCCTAGTGAATAAACCAAGACTTCTACAGTAACGAGATACGCATGTTCATTCACAAACATGTTTTTCTGCTTTGGATGTTTTCTTCTGTGATAATTAATAACGTCAACTTTAAATACAGATAGCATATAAGTACGGGCACACATCATATGAGCCTGACTTAGAGTACAACTGGCTCCTGTATCAGAGTCTAAACAGTAACTGCATTTGGTACTTATGTGATACACAAGCCTCATAAATAAAAGTAAATGAAAACTTCCTTTACTAAATCAAATTGTTCTTCATTTGTGTCTCATAGTGCTCCCCCTCCCAGCCACTGCAGCTCACGGTGGGAGATTTTCAGTAACAGAAGTGCTGCCAAAAAAGTAATGGGCAGGGCTATGTGTGGCCAGGTGCTGACAGACAGGCTTGTTAATCAGCAGTGAGAATGCTGATAGCTATGCACCTGAAACATTTTTTCATTCCACTTTAGCTTAAGGCGGCACAACCTACATGAGCGTAACAACTCTGCTCTGAGTTCAGAAGCATTGTTGTCACACCACCAAATGAATCTGCATTTGGTGGACTTCATTGGCAGGCTAGCAGGCAATTAGTGGAATTTTGCAAGAGCACCAAGAGAAAAGTGCAGATGTATTACATAATTTTTTTTTTTTATGGGAGGCCACTGTTCTACTTTAGGAGATAGCCACAGAACATAAATGAGTGCAAATGGGGAACAATCTTACAGTACTCGTGGGAAAAGTAATTAAATATCAGGAAAGTGGCAGCAGAGGGAGCTGAAGACTTATTTATAGGGATGCACCAATACTGTTTTTTTGGTATCGATTACCGATATTTTCTTCGGTACTTGCTGATACTGAATACCGATACCAGAAGTCCCATTTAAAAAGCGGGGCGGCATGTAACGACTCACCGCCCGGCTTCTGGTGACTAGGGAGCATGGAGCTGGCTTCCTGGCCAAACAGGAAGCCGGGCGGCATGTAATGACTCGCCACACGGACTTCCTGATGCCAGAAGTTCCGGTATCAGGATAGGCATCAGGAGCATTTGGGCAAGTAGGAGTAAACACCCAAATACTTGGTATCAGCATCAAATACTGATACTAGTATTAGTATAGGTGCATGCTTACTTATTTACACACATGCTCTAAAATATGTTTCAGAGAGAATATTTCTTCTGATTTGCCCTTGTCTAGCTTAGGTTCCCAGCCAAGAGGGAACTTAGACATCCATTCCAGCTCTATGGAGGAGCAACTGAGCCACCCTTGAACAGCAGCATTGTCAGCCTGCGGAGAGGGTAGTGTTAGAGGCACCAGCAGATTTAGATTGACTTGACTAACCAATGAAATCCAAACTCCAGCTAACACTTTATAAGCAGTTATAGCTACATTTGTTTTTGTTTTCCTTTTTGGATAAAGGTTTTACATAAATGAATAAAAAAATAACCATTGTAAACACCCCCATCAGTGGTAAATGGTTCGTCTCAACCCTCAATCTGCCACTGTCGCTGGAAAATTTGGCCTGGTAAAGGAAGTCGAAAAATAACAGACCCTCTGGCCAGAGCAACCGGTGAAAATAAAGGGAAGAAAAGCACACACAAAAAAAAAAAAAAGCTACCACATTTAACCATCTGTAAACTGCAATATCCTTTTAGTAAACATTCTTGCTTGATAAAAGGTCTTTATCAAAGCATTAGTAGTTTACACTGGAAATTGTTACATCACTTTATAATGAATGATAACAATTCATTTCAGATGTTTAGAATTCATTTAAAATAATGGAATGGAGAAGGAAATATGATTGTGTGGTAGGTGTTGCATCAGAGCCATGCAAGATAAATAGATGAACATTGTACTACTACAATTCATCACAGCAGTTTTCATGCTTCATCCTGTAGGAATTACTGATACTGAACATGAAGAAGAGATAAGTGATTTTGTAGATGCCAAGTACATCATCTCAAATGATTTCACTCAAACACAAAAAGTAGAAAGCTTTCCAATAGCTTTATTGTTCAGACTTGAAGGAATGCCAGTGTAACAACCACCATCTACATGCTTACCCACAGAAGTCCCAAATGGCACAACCCAAGCTAAGCAGCATTCATGACTTGTGTAACAACAAAGAGATGAAGCATGAAAGAAAGCCTTTGTAAAAGAGCCCAAACTGGTTTTAAAGTGGCACGGAAGATACAAAATATTTCTGTTGTATCATTTGTATTCTGTTTATATACTCTATTTAGAGCCGTTCTGCAAAGAACCATACAGCTCCATTAAAAGGAGAACTACTGGGAGAGTACAATGTATTCTTCCCAATAGTTTGAGCCGGCGTTGCACACTGCAGCTGTCGCAAGCAGGCTTTATAGCTCGAGAACCGAGTGATCACAAACCCCTGATCGTTCAGCTTATGGTCTTCTCCATGCAGAGAACGGGGACTGTCAGTCATCACTCCCCACAGTGATTTCCCAGCATTCATTGAAGGGACAGATAGGGGAGGGGGTAGGCACAGCTGGCGCTGGCTCTAGCGGGGCAGAGCAAGCTGTAAATGAGGCAGCAGAGTGGATCGCGACAATTTTGTCAGGATCTTTCCCGGCTGCAGTGCGGCTCTGCGCTGTCAGCACATAGGGGCAGTAGCTGACTTTGGGTCACAGGAGGGAATTAGTAAATATCCTCCTGTAACCCAAAAGAGAACTATAGCCTTTAAACTAAAAAAAAAAAAAAAAAAAGGTTCTCTTAACAAGCATTCCGGGAACATTTCCAATGACTCACTTATTCAAAAATATTTGGTAAGCCTTTGATTATAAAATATTTCTTCAATACAATATTCAAATACATTCCTTTTAAAAGGAGCAATGAAAAAAGACTTTTGATCTGTATCTAACACTATTCATTGGGACCTGGGATCAAAAGGTACTTTTATTGCCTTAGGCTTATTTCCTAAAATAGCCATTTAGTCTTTCTGGTAAGCTTACTTTAGACTACAGAGGCTACAAAAAAAAGCAGTTAACCATTGCAGTGCAGGGGTAGCCCCACTGCAAGGGTTCATTTGAAAAAGCTGTATATTACTTTTTAAAAAGTAATACAGTTTTTAAAGAAGAACTTTTTTTTTTTTTTTCAAATGAACCCTACCAGTGGGGCTACCCCTGCACTGCAATAGTTAACTGTTTTTTTTGTTTGTTTTTTTTTTTAGATCTCTAGACTAGATAGAGATGCTCTGTTCTGGAAACTCCAGGATTAAAAAATCCTACTGTTTGTGGGGGGTGCGGAGAGTTTTGCTTGCCATAATTGACTCTGTCTGTACTGTGCTGGCAGATCTCATTATCATTTGTAAACTGGATGAGCAGGACTTTACTCGGAGAGTAAAATATGCACATCCCAATACTTTGAGCCAGCGTGTGACATTGCAGGTGTCACAAATGCGTGTTCTATATACCGAGAGCAGAGCGATCATGAACCGCTGATCACTCAGCTCACAGTCTTCTCCCTGCAGATAGCAT